CTATGTTATATTTATAGACGCTTAATAATTTTTAAAAATTTTATAAATAGAAATTTTAAAAAATGGAGCACGATAAAAATAATTTTGAAACTATAGAATTTGAAATATATAGAATAATTTACAAACACGAGAGCAGAATAGTTTCGAATAGTTCTGCCTATATAAAAGTGGAATAGAATAATACCGAATTCAAGAAGAAAAATTTGGAACCTGTGTTTTCTAAAAGAAAATTTAACATATAATAGCAATTTGAATTATAAATGCTTAAGACACTAATATTAATAAAACTTCTATTAATTCATTCAAATACTTGAAGTACTAGTACCGAAGTACAGTTTAGATGTAGAATGGAAAAATACGTCATGCGTCATACTTTATTTAAATTCTTCTTGCAATTTAAACAAAAATAAATTAATTAAATTTAAAAAAACGAAAATCTTTGAACCAATATTTCATGCATTTGTATGGAAACAATTGTAGAATAAAATTTGTTAAATATTTATATTATGCTTCGTAAAAATGTTACAGAAACTCATGACATTTTACTAAAATTTGTAATTACTTTTTAAATATATATTATAATTCTAAAAATTCTAAAAATTTTTCTAAAAATTTATTCTGGAATATTTAGTTTTCGAAAATTTTTCTAAAATGTAATCATTGTTAAAGAAGGTATCCAGGTAATAACTTAAAATGTACTTAATTTTAGTAATATTATTTCAAAATCATATCAAAAAAGAAGCGCTTTCGAATTTCATCGACAAAGATTTCTTTAAATAACCTTTATTTTCCTTTATGTGTTAAAATCTTTTAATTACATTTATAAGATACTATTCTCCTACGTATCTAAGAGAGATTATTGACGTATATTAAAAACAACGATTATTTCTTTAGAAGAATATAATTTCTAATCAGATAATTCGCAATTTTAGGCCATTTCTAAGAAAAACATTTTGATATCCAAATAATTGTGGAACTCCTTTCAAAACATTTTAAAAGGTATTCCACAAGGAAAAGATATTGAAATTTTTTTAATTTGTTCTGACTTCAAACATTTTTTGACTGCTTATCTGCAGAAGTACAGTAAAATTCGTTCTTTAAACTTTTTTTAATCATTTAGCTTTTCTTATGACATAAATTCTTCTTTAAATCTTGTTTCGAATGGTTTATTATAAGCCATTACAAACAAGCTCAGCCAGTTAATTCATTTCATTTTCTCATCAGATGATTTATTACAAATAATAATTTACTACAAAAAGCTCATCCAATTAATTTACGCCCACCAGCGGCCGAGCGGTAAAGTCGCTGAACACTGGTAGTTCGGTCCGAGGTTCGAATCCCGCGAACGGGCTGGCTGCATGGGTGTTTTCGTGGTTTTCCCCATGTGTAACGTGTATACGAGCCAGTTTCCCTTAGAAAGTCCTCCACGATAGGCATCCCTCCTCTTAGGCAGATAGCCCTAGTGTGCTTTGCCATAATTAAATACACCGACACCGACACCAATTAATTTACATTCATCATTTAATCAAATTACAATTTATTAAAAATGCTCAGCTCAGTTTCGTGACGAGGATTATTAATTCCACGCGGGGACTAGAACCTTCAGTCCTACTTATTCGTTGTTCTTGACAGTTCTTATCAAAAATAATGTTTAATGTCTACAATATTGCGTAAAGGAATAAATGCAACCTGATTTTGATATTCTATGAATTATGAAAGAAACACTGCCCATTTGGGTGCATACCAGCTACAGCAAATGGACTCCTTTGAGAAGCAGAAGTTAGCAAATTTCTTCAATAAAACTAAATAAATGAACTTTTCCCTTGAGACGCATTCTTTAGAGGAATCCATTTTGTTTTGTTCGAAACGCTTTCAGCGATTTCACGCATCAGTGGAATAACAGGCTTCACTCAACACCCCACCCACCCCAAGATCAGGAACTGTTTAAAAAAATGTGATGCAAGTGGGACTATTAATGTAATTGGTGACTGGTATCCGTTATTCCCAAGGACGATTCAGAGATCTGGCAACATGTGATACTCTGTTTTTCGTCCCTATTTAGCGTTTTTTTTTTTTTTTAATTGTTTTATTCTTTTGTTAAGTCACTTTTGAAATAATATTCTTGGACAATTAGTGAAATACCTGGAAATGGAATTTCCCTTAATTTCAATAGAATACACAGCAGAAAAAAAAATAAGAAGCAAATAGCAATTAAGCTGCTTATCTGTGTGCTAGCTGTTGCCACTGACGTTAATTCCTGTCGCTTTAATTCTAATAAAGCTTTTAAAATTCTTCTCGAATAATTTTTAATCATATTGTTCTGTCTTAGTTCTGGTGTCTTTCCGAATCTAATTTCTAGCAAAATGCGCTCCGTGGATTGTTTGATAAATTAATTTGGGCAAAGCATACGGTTGAAGCAGTAACTTACGTGCCAAACGAAGGAGATTCATGACATAGCTGTCTGGTGCTCCTTAAGAATCCAAAATTTACATTGAATTCACTGCAAAATCCTAAATTCCCACTTAAGTATTTCATGTAATTCCTTCTTTCATGCAAGTACACGAATGAACTAAATGTGACAAGCAAATTTAGTCGATAAAAATGGCACAAAATTTAATTAATTAATTAACTCTGTCTGTATGTGATTTTGGGCTAAGCACCATAGTAATACGTACAACATATGACGTCAATGCAGGTTTTAAAAAAAGCACTACCAACAAATTCATTTTTTCATTCAATATGAACTTTGCCGATTGTGTCAGCGTGGCAGAGAGGTAGACTGCTCCGGAAATAGAACAGGAAAAGCAATAAAGTGCTTATTCAGGCGCTAGGAGTATTTTTGTTCGGTGAGAAAGAATGCACTGCCGGAAATTCATATTTGGTGACTCAGCCCTAATTTAAAAGTTTGCTGGCTGCTGAGGGCTCCCAATTCTCTTCGCTTAGTCTACGGCGGAAAATTAATCACCAAGTTAAAAATAGAAACCAAAACATAAAATAAAGCTACACAGCCTGAGACGACAGCTTGATTTTGCACCCGATACTTTTAAGCTCAGCATTAATGTGCGTTTCTAAATTATATGAAAGGCTTACACTAGAAATAGCTTCTTCTGTCTCTGACAAATTCGAGAAAAAAGGGCACATTCATTAGAAATATAATAAAAAATAATTGCTATTCTGTTGATCTCATGTATGATAATAATAAAATTCAAATGTAAAGTGCAAATATTCCAAGAAAACGTCTAACTAAAAATAAATGCCATAGAAATACCATAGAAAAACGCTAAACCAAACTCAGTGGCGTAACAGCCCTAATGGGCCAAGACCGGCAGTGCCCGAAATCTTCTTTCTTGACCGTGAGCCCCGGGGTGCGTATGCCCTGAACATAGTGGTCAGCTTGTCGCAGGACCCCCAGTGTTTAGCCCCCAAGCGAGCTTGGTACTCATTTTATCGACCCAAGGGATGTAAATCAAGGGATGAAAGGCTGAGTCGACCTTGCCCAGCCCGGGAATCGAACCCCAGACCTGTGGTGCTGCTGCGCGATGCGCTAGCCACTGCTCCACCGGGCCGTATAGAAAAATGCTACAGAATACCAAATATTAGTAAAAAAATTATAAAGAGTCTTATTTTTTGTACCGAGCATGGTGAGCATTATTCCAATATATTGTAGTAGTAATTATTTGCTTGAGGTAAATTATCACAAATCACATATAATTTTCATCATTGGATACCTGATGCTGTATACCATCGGGTCTAGGTCGTTCTATAAATGTCTATGGAAAAGATGCTGCCCTTTCAAATTGCATCCGTCTAACTTTCAGCTATCATATGATGAGGATGTCCACTTCCTGTTATTACCATCAAGTATGCCTAGCTTTTATCTAAGACAGTTATTATGAAGTTTTCATTATAAGTGAATGAAGCTGTCTGCTTGGAGATATAAAAAAAAGTATTTCCTGGCAAAATACTGACAACATTTAACACGGTTTTTTTTTTTTTTTTTTTTTACTTAACCTGGTAAAAATTAAATAGTCCAAAACACTAACAAACGTAAAGCGAATCATCACTACTATGTCTGAAAGTAACTATAAACACTGGGAAAAGTTTAAAACAAATCTTTTTATTTAAACACGAACTTTGAATATAAATGCTTCCTATTGTGCTAACAAAGTCAGCTACAATTCGTGGCAATGGAATTAAAGAAACAGTCAATACTTCAATTTCAAACGCAGAATAGAAGTCAAAGACTACACAGTTAAACTTAAATCAGCTGGCTCAGAAGTTCTAACCGGCATATCAGATTCAAATTCGGCAGCGATAACGCAAAACCGAATGACACAAACGTAACAGCAGAGCTGGCAGGAACTAACGTAACGTGCCCGCGAAAGGCAGAAACAGGCTGTGCCTTACAATCCAAAAATCTCAGTTTAAATACTACCTAACTAAATATAAAGAAAGGTAACACACAAAATGTTAAAAAACGCCCCTTTGGACGTAATTTAAAATCTGAAACATTTCAGATTTTGTTTTTATATCGTAATTAATTTATTAATTGCTAAGTTATAAACTTTAATTTAATTCTTTTTAATTTTGGTAAGCTCTTGCCAATAAATTTAAAAAACATGAAGAATGTGGAAACGCATCTATTTACAAAAATAATAATTTTTTTTCCTTTGAAGCAAATTATTTTAAAACTTATTTTTGATCAAATAATAAATGAAATAAAACAATGTAAAATGTGAAAATTATTTAATTTTAAGGCATTTTTATAAATATTTCGAAATGTGAATTTTAATCTCATTTAACAACATTTCATTTTAAATTTGCTTTCAAATTGCAATGTGAGTTTAAAAAAGTAAAAACATATACTTAGGTCTTCACTTCAAAATGCTCAACTGTTTTTAATGCCTGTTAAGTAGCAAAGATCCTGTCCATTGAACTGAAATTTTAAGACTGAACCACTTCTCAGTAATAATGTCAATCTTTGTTTCTTTTCTGTGCAGGGTGACGAAGACAAGAAAGAGAAGAAGAAGAAGACCAAGAAGAAGGCAGAAGAAGATGCACCTGAATCTGCCCCTGCTGCCCCAGCTCCCGCTTCCAAACCAGCCTCTCAGAAAAGAAGGGCCCAAAGATCTGGCAGTAATGTCTTCGCTATGTTTACCCAACATCAGGTCCAAGAATTTAAAGAAGTGAGCTCATTTTAGTGGCACCCTCTTTAATTAAAAATTGTAACATATTATCAAGGTGAAATCGAAAAAGCGTGGCAACGCCGATTCATAGTCCATATTTCTAAAAACCTGACTTTGGCATTTCGTCTCGCTTCTATTCGTCCCCATTCGGTTCAACTTAGAAATGTGAACAAATATTTCCATACATGAAATTTATTTGAAGAACAGGACCAGCTTAATTATCGAAAATTCATTTGCTTGGATTCATTTCAAGACGACTAACGATGAGACAGATTTGATTAAATCGACGTCACGATTTCATCATAAGAGAAAAATTAAGTTCATTAAGTTATGTTTGTTTTTATAATAAGAAGAATTATAACCTTATATTTAAAGCGTATTGTAATTATTTTCTCACTATAATTTATTGGTTATTTACGAAGAAAGTCTTCTAAAAGGTCTTCTAAAACTACACGAAACGCCTTCAAAATACACACAATTTGGTTGATTTCGACCCGCAGCCAAAAAAGGCTGCCGAGGCCTGTTCCAAGATTTTCAAAAGGCATTACAAAATAGGCTAGCCATCACTCTATATGAGTTTCCATCTTTTACTTCCGTATTGTAATTATTTTCTCACTCTAATTTATTTGTTATTTACCAAGAAAGTCTTCTAAAATGAAAACTACAGGAAACGCCTTCAAAATACACACAATTTGGTTGATTTCGACCCGCAGCCAAAAAAGGCTGCCGAGGCCTGTTCCAAGATTTTCAAAAGGCATTACAAAATAGGCTAGCCATCACTCTATATGAGTTTCCATCTTTTACTTCCGTATTGTAATTATTTTCTCACTCTAATTTATTTGTTATTTACCAAGAAAGTCTTCTAAAATGAAAACTACAGGAAACGCCTTCAAAATACACACAATTTGGTTGATTTCGACCCGCAGCCAAAAAAGGCTGCCGAGGCCTGTTCCAAAGATTTTCAAAAGGCATTACAAAATAGGCTAGCCATCACTCTATATGAGTTTCCATCTTTTACTTCCGTATTGTAATTATTTTCTCACTCTAATTTATTTGTTATTTACCAAGAAAGTCTTCTAAAATGAAAACTACAGGAAACGCCTTCAAAATACACACAATTTGGTTGATTTCGACCCGCAGCCAAAAAAGGCTGCCGAGGCCTGTTCCAAGATTTTCAAAAGGCATTACAAAATAGGCTAGCCATCACTCTATATGAGTTTCCATCTTTTACTTCCCCATTATTTTTCATTGGTTATCAATGTGTATATGCATAAAACATCAAAGAAACAGCACCAGGGAAAATCGCAGTAGCTACTTGTAAACACTTTCAGAATAAGGTAATGTATGAAAACGCAAAGACTGAAAAACACTTAAAAATTACGGAACTAAATTTCAAGCCTTTAAAATACCAAAACATTAAGGCATAAAAATTTCACAATTAAAATCTCAAAAACCTTTAGAGGCGAAGCAACCGTCTGCTCAGGACACAAAGTCCTTGGCCATCCAGTATAGTAAAAGAGAACATCAACACTGTGCTGTAACTTAAGGATCAAGGTATAGACAGACGAGCAAGTGCTGCTAATTCCTAGTGTCTGTTTTTACAAATGGGGCATTGGCTATTTATCAATATTTCTATTCTGCTGAAATGTTCGGCTAAGCATTTGGCCCTGTATCCAATCTCTGCTTGGCCTGCGACTGAACTCATTCTAGTCATTCCTGATATTCTTCCAAAGTTTATCCTTCAATTTAACTGATAGTTCTGTGTTGTAAGCTGACATAAGATTCTCTCGAATACTTCTTCTAAGGTAATCCAAAGGAATGGAATTATGTTTTCAATAAATAACTCCGTTTTACTGTTCCTATTTAGCTCCCTGATATCTCGTTTTATTTTTGGTACAAGATGAGACTCAGAGTGGTGTTGATGAAGAGCTATTGCCTCTATGACGGACTTAGATTCAACAAGAATAACGACCATTGTAAAACATTCAATTCTTGGATTTCAAATTAGGCACATCCGAAAAGATTCTGCATCAAAGTTTGAAAAATGTTGACCCGTTGGGGCATACTGTGAAAACAGTTTCCAATATACACCTGCACCAGCAGCATTAATCAATTCTAGAGCTATCTGTATATGCACGTGTCCATTCTGGCTCAGGATTGTTATTATCCAATAGTGATAAGGTATTTGTTTTTAGAACAATATCTAATGTTTCTGTTTTCATCCAGTTTTAAATTATGAGTATACGATATTACCGAAACTCCAGGGGTCTGCAAGTATGTTAGTATTTTCAACAGGAATATTAAGGCTTTAAATCGCCCAAAATGCTTTCAAAAATCTTGACACCGGGACATTTTTAAAGTCACGCGTGCCCCCTGGATGGTGCTAAATGAGTAACAGTTAGAGACTGTAGCTGCTCTCTTTCGAAAGTGAAATTATAAAGAAAAGGAAAATGCAAGTGATATTGTTGGATTAGATTGTCCTTGCTTCGTCTTGTTTAACAGCTAAAACCCTACTGCCGATCCTTGCTATTGTTTTGAGATAGAATATTCCAGACTTCGAGTTCCTGTAATTGTCATCATCTGAAGTTGAAAAAATTCGTCTATGGTACTTGAAGTAACGGACTTAAGTTTTGACAATTCTTTCATTTTTATCGTTGCTGGCAGTTACATCAGACTGCGGTCTGGTATGAAAAAATAAAGTTCTACAAAAGCAATTTCCCAATTATTTTCTCCTCAGATGACCTTTAACCTCTTGAGCTGCTTTCTTTCTGACAAAGACAGCCCCGAGATTCATACTTTTGTGAATCAGAACCATCTTCAAGGAACAGATGATAAGCTAGTAGATCAGCTGCCCTGCCGACTACTAGCCATTTTAGTTTTTCAAAAATTTATTCTATGATACTGTAAAGATTAAAAATTATGATGATGTTAAGATGGTACTGTAAAGATTAAAAATGGGAAAAAAAATTCGTTTTCAAGTTTTTCAAACATATATAGATATTACATGCTATTAATTGCTTATTAAGTCAGAAAGCATGTGCCAAACACATTAATATTTATGTGTCTGATAAGAAAATGAATATTATCAAAAATAAAACAATATAACGAATGGCAAGCTTTTCTAAAAATAAAAATTAAGTGCAATGTATAAAATTGCACTTAATTTTTTTTTGCATTTTATACATTTTTAAGGGCAATTTTATACATAGCTAAAATCTATATGTAAAGCAGATATTTAAACCAAAAATCATCTTTCAGGCTTTCCAACTCATCGACCAAGATAAGGATGGTTTCATCTCCAAAGGAGACATCAGAGCAACATTCGATTCCCTTGGTAAATACTTTAAAGTACTATTTTTAAAAATGTGAAAACATACAAATTATGTATTTAAAATTTCATTTTTAATTTTGTTCTTTGCTTGCTGTAATATTTTTTCCATGTTTGTATCCTAGAAATTTTATATAATTATTCCGCAATTGTGTTAAATAATGCGAAATTCGTATTTAACTTCTTATCTTTGAATATATTTTCACGTACATACGTATGTTTGTAAGAAAACAAATCCAAAACATGAAAAATTAGTCACCCGCAACATCGAAACTGTGAACTACGTTACTCAGTGTTATCAGTATAATGTGATACCAGTACGATTACTAAGATGTTTTCGCGGTTGGGCGTCGCATTCTAATTTTTGCAGCTGTTCTCAATCTCGTTCGTATCTTTTTGACCTTCCATCTCCGATGTTTCTCTTGCTCAGATTTTTTGCTTCCTTGTAGGCGTACATGAAACTTAAAGCGATCTATTCTGCAGCCATTAACACCGCTTTTATGACCAATAAAAGATTAAATTACCTCTGTCTTTTATGTCAAAGCAGGACTAACGAAGAGTAAAAAAAAATAGTACTAAGACATAAAACTGTTTTCATGTGCAAAAACAATGTAAATTATGGAACTTAAATATAATAAGCACGTAAAAAGTTATACAAAATACAAATATCGCTTTATGTGAAACCTAAAATGCATATACCATATATTTTCGAATGTAAGCCGATCAAGATGCAAACCACAATTAAAAAAAGTGTAAAAATTGATTTCATGTGTGTAGCTACCGTATATTCCGGCGTATAACACGCATTTTTAATACAAAATATATAAACAAAATTTATGGGTGTATGTTATACGTCGAATATAAAAATGAAAGATTGAAAGGAAAAGATGAGTATACAAAAACTATATTTCTACCTGTACTAAATGCAGTTTGTTTAAAAGAAATGACATTCCTTATGAACTTAAAAAAATTCCTTATTTGATAATATGAAACGTTCGTCATATTCGTCTTCCTTTTGTACCTTCAGGCGTATCATCGAATTCTGTTTCATCTTCACCATCACTGTTATTCTGATCCATTAATAAATAATCATCTTTAATTCCCTCTAAACTGTTAGCTATACTACATTTTAGTGGTTTTTGAATTATATCAAGTTTCATTTCCTTCCTTGTTTGTATTATCCACTCACACACTAATTCTAGACTGGCAGGAAGCATCGAGCTTCCTTTTCCTTTCCTATTCCTTCCTTGTCTTTGATGTCCACTTCAAAATCGCGGCTTCAAACGACTACATAAAGAGAAAAAATCTAACTCCTAATTCTGCGAATTTATTTGGTTTGGTAGTGCATTCTTACCTCAAAAAATGTCCCCCTTTTCTCGAAACCTTAGAATAATATTCTTGTGCACACCTGCATTGCGCATCCTCTTTGCAGAATTATTTACTTCCTCAAGCATTTTCCCCAGACATATTGTTCCCCTTATTGCTTGTCAATTCAGTATACCATTGTTCAAAAGCTTAAGAAAAATCTTCGAATGAATGACTTCAGAAGATAAGAGCATCGCACCTGCATCTTTCAGGTTTCTTCGTAAAGGAAAGGGTGCGCGTCATATGGCGAATATATCTAAAACTAAAAAATTGTAGTTTTAAATTATGGGTGCGCGTTATACGTTAGAATATACGGTACATACGTATCATCAAAAGGCATATAATTGGTCCAGTATACTTACCAGGAGTTTCCATTCGAACAATAGGAGAGACAGCATAATAAATTGCAAAGGCATTTTTATAGCCAATAATTTTTCTGTTTGACTCAGTTCTTTCAGCTTTTGTGTATGTGCATCATTTTTTCCTCTTTGGCATCGCAATTTGTCCTTTGGTTCTCAGCTATGCAAACAATTTTCCACCAATGGCAAGACATTTTTCTCTCAGTTTTTTGGTGTAAAATAAGATTCGTCATTTCTCACATAAAGAGATTATACGGACAGAAAACGATTGCATTTTCTGCTAGTTTTAAGCCAAAAGTTATCATTTTTGCCAAGTAATTCTGCAGATGGAATTGGACATGATATATTGTGTACGAGTTAAGCTGGAAATGCAGAATGGCGATATTCACCTAGTCTTCGCCTCTAGTAGAGAGAGACAAAATTTTGAGTCGGATATTAATATTCAGAAATTTGATTACTATGTATTAGGAATAAATAAATTATATAAAATTAGGTAATAGGATTAGGATTAAATAAAACAAAAATAATATTTTTTTCAATTAATTATTTAACATATAATTTCAGTTTTGTAATCAAATTATTCATAAATAATTTTGAACTCACATGTAAGCCTACTCCCTAAACCTAAGTAGCAAAATTTTGCTAAAACGTCAATGTCTTTGACTGAGAATTCCAATCATGTTCGTGGAAATGTTCATGATTAAGTTCAGAATAAATAGACAAACAAAAAATATCTAAATATGAAGCAAAGTGAAAATTATTTCAGTATGCAAACATAATTAAAATAACATTTCTCATTTCAAACTGCCTGAATATCAGTTAGTTATTTAATTTCCACTTCTGACAACACTTTATTTTTCAGGTCGTCTATGCACAGAAGCTGAACTCGACTCCATGGTAGCTGAAGCCCCCGGCCCCATCAACTTCACTATGTTCCTGACCATTTTCGGTGATAGGATAGCCGGTAAGCATTACATTAAAACATATCCTCTTCTGATACAATTAGTGACAGGAAAACAGCGGTGCGATACTTTTAAATAGCATCCATCATGTGGTCCTTGAGCAAAACTGGAAAGTTCGTCGGCATTGTGTACCACAAATGCCCATGGATCAATGACTAAGGATGCCATCAGTTCTGAGTCTTATTTCTTTACATGCTTATCCGGCAGAATATTAGATAAATAATCATGTGTATATCCGATTGTATGTGGTATGATGAAAATTGAGAGGCTGCTGGACAAAGTATGGCATCAGTGCCTGCAGAGCTATGACCAAGAAAGGATGTCATCATTCCCCAATCTCTGTAAGATTTTCCTCCGTCCTTGCTGCATGGCTTCGTGGTGTAATTGGAAAACACGTCCGGCTAGCAAATGAGAGGTCCGAGTTTGAATCCCGGAGAGAACATTGCGAATTTTTTCGTTTCCTAGCTTCGAAAAATTAATAGGCTCTTGCTTCTTTATATGTTTATCCAACTGGCTATGGAGATAAATAAGTAAAACATTATTTTCATGTATCTTTTTACTAAGTCCGTTTCATGAAAACATGGATAGGATAGATATGAAATTTATATTACATATATAGATATGAATTTAAATTAAGGTAATTCTTGTTTTTTCTGATGTGAATTCATCTGCAAAGGAAAGTCTGCATAGTCTGTGTAAAAGAATCGATCTTTCCAGTGGTTTACATGAACAAGCAAACTAAATACTATAAAAAAGGTAGAAGATTTGATTTACATATAAAAATATCATTCTTCAGTCAGACCATCCGATTTAAATACCTATGTATTAACCTTGCATAAAATTCCACTTCGGGTAAGAAATCAATAACAAATAACAAATATCAGAAATTTTTGTAATACAATATCACTTTGAAATCTCTCATCGTAACTTATGCAGATAAATAATATATTACCATATATGCATTTAATGTTTACCTGAGAGGGATACATCATTTATTGTACAACAAATACATGAAAAAATGGTACAACGTATTTTCATATGAATGATTTATTTTACGTTACAACTAATAATTACGAAAGGTAATAAAAATATATATTTTTAATACATTTTAATGTTTTGGAAACTCTTAAAAATTATTTTTGAACAATTTATTTATTTCATATTTTAACAGTACATTTTGCCCCAGTGTTTCGCAATCCTCTCTCTCAAACGAATCAACAAACGAACGTCTTTCTATTGTTCAAACCGACAAAATTGTTAGTTTGGTGACATCTCAAACATCTACATGAAATATCTTAAGTAGAGTTTCTGTAGACTAAGTATAGTTTTCACAGTACAGTTTTTATAATTGAGAAGAAAAACAGTGCAGAGTATCTACAGACTCAGGGTATATACTACTTAACAGAGTGTATACTTTAGAGTGTTAATAAAAAACCTCGGTTAATCCGGACATAGATACACAAGCATTCAACACAAATGAACACAGTTTAAATATTATTCATTTTTGTAATACGTTTTACAGTTTTTGAAAAAATATGATATGCTTATATAAATATGATATAATTTGAATATGCTTAAAAATGATGCAAAATTTAAAGTGTTTTTTACATAATGCAAAGTTTTTAAATGGGAATAATTCCGAAATTGTATTTAATGATCATAATCATAAATTCATTTTAAATTATGGTTATGATTACGAAATTATGGCTATAATTATGATTTATGATTAGAATTCAATTTTATTGTTAATTACCAAATTATTGTTAAGGTTATAAAATCGTAATTTCATAAGTTCATGATGTTTAACAGCAATGAAATTCAATCTCAGTTAGCGAGCGAGAGTTTAGTTTAATGTGTGCTCTTTCCTTATATTATTCATTAATATCATAATCAATTTTCTAAGGTACGGACGAGGAAGACGTCATTGTCAATGCCTTTAATATGTATGATGAGGGAGAAGGAAAATGCCGAGAGGAGACGTAAGTTACTTGACTTGTATTTTTCTGTATAAAAGACAAAACAAAAGTATGTGCAATAATCAGAAGCATTTGCAGATAAGCTAAAAAAAAAAGAAAAAAAAAATATTACGAATTTATATAACAACAGTAAGTTATAATCAATAGTGATAAAACTAATTCTGAGAGAAAACAATTGTTATTAATATTTAGACCAAATAATAATTTATTCTTCAACAGAAATTTACAACTGTATGATACACAGTATATAATACTTTTACAAATAAGTAGTTCTTCAGTTGTTGAAAGTTAAGTAAATAGTTAGAGGATTTAAATTACGTTAAAATTACGTTAACTTATGAATAAAATTTTCAATCAAATTTATAATGTGCAGTTTATTATTATATTTTTATTGACAACAGAAATTGTTTGATTTTTTTTTCTTTTTTAACATGTGTACGAAAAGCAAATTGGTACTACTTTGTTTCGATACACAGCTTAAATTTTTTCTACCTTGTACGAGGTAAGGGAAGTATTGCAATTGCAAAAAATTTCGGGTATCATTTTTCAACAAAGATATCCATTTTGACCACTCTCGAACTAATTTTGACGATTTTTTTCGTATGACATCTCTATAGTCAGAATAAAGAACTATTTTTTCTAAAACGGGTTGTAACATGGATTTAAAATGATTTTTTGTGACGATTCGAGATGATTTTCGTGACTTGAAGGGATTTTTTTCGTGACGTCTGTACGTATGTACTTATTTATATATGTATCTCAAAAACGACTAGCCGTAGAAGATTGAAATTTTGTATATGGGACTGCTATAATATGCAATTGTGCACCTCTCTTTTTTTTTTAAATTGGCAGCACCAAATATATATAAACAGCTATATAATCCCTCTTACCCGGTTCGAGGAGCTGCGTGTTTTTATTCTCATTTGTTGGCAAATTGTGCATTTTTTGGCTTTAAAAAGTGATTGAATTACATTTTTTCTCATATTCTGGCTAAGCTTGTTATGCCTTTAGTTAATCTGCACGCAAGAGTTGCAGAATTATCAAAATAATTTAAAAGTGTCAGCTTGGCCTAACGTGGCGGCTGTTTGTTTACATCTGTAATTCTCAGTAGTATAGTGAATTAAGTCAGTTGGTGCATCAAGTTCAGTGTCTTTCACTCAGTGGAACCAAAAGGTTAACTTTAAATTTTTGTCTTCGAGTCCGTTGGCTGAACAGATTGCTTTGGCACAGAAACCTTAATTTTAATCGTAAAAAAAATTTTTTTTTAGGATTCTTAATTGCTTCTAACCGTATTTGATGTTTTACATTTTTCTGTATTCGTTTTGAGTTTTTATGTATATTTGCCTTGCCGCGAAATGAGAACTGAATTGATTCAATAAGAAATTTATCTATGATGAAATAAGTTTAAATGAAGTGCAACAAAAAATGTGTATAATTTAATTGGCCGTACAAGGAAAGTCATATGTTGTCCATATCAGATTGTTTAGAACTGTTTTCACAGCATAAAGAAATAAATCAAAATTTGTCTGCAACTCTGAGTGTCAACAGCAAAATGTTCCTCCTTTTTTCCGTAGTAATAATGAAATAATGTAATAAAGTTTTACGACCTTCTGAAGATATGTGGAAGCGAAAAATAATATCTAAGCAAGTTAATTTATACAGTTGAAATAAAATCAAAAATTTCAAGTTATTCGAGAAATAGATTAAAAATATTAATATCGCATATCTTTTTGTTTAATTTTATCTTGAAAACTCTTTGGACAACAAAATTCTTTTATTTATTTGTGTCCATGAAACGTGGATTGCTTGAGTAGCTAAACCAGTATAAAGTCTTCTCCCCCCCCCCCCCAGGTTCGGTCCACAGTGGCTGAATATTATGACTGTATGATGAGAATTACGTAGTTTACCTTTCGCTTAATGTTACGAAGTTGTTTACATGTTCGTAGGAAATTATCTCTCCTGTAAGAAACTTATGCTTCGTGTTGCTTTGCTTTAATTAATTGATCAGCTTATCTCTGTATGATCCAGTCCCGAGGCTACTTCGTAGTGACGAGTTTTGCACCCCGGGTAAGACCCGGGTAAGACGCCCGGGTAAGACTGAGTGTTAACGCTTGTTACTGAATTGTCTGCACGGTGTACAGGGAATTTCTGTCAGAATGATAGTCCTTTCAAAAACTTGCAGAAGAGGAAGAGATCCTCAAACTTCATTCTGCTAACATTTCTCAAATATAACTTGGAATAAATCTGTTACCACCACTGTCCAATGATGAAATCATTTCCTTTATGTATGATTTTTTTTTTCATATTCAATTTCGTCCTGGATGAAACAGAAACAGTGCCATTCGTTGTTCAAGCTATAAAACAAACGAACATTAATAAATATTTTTATAATCATATGTAAAATTTTATTACAAATCTTGGAATGGAAAATCATAAGAACGTTTGCAAAGCCGTCCATAATGAAAGTATTTTATTTAAATGTCAGTCACATGATGCATTTATTTCTTTAAACATGAAGATTAGTAAGAAAATTATTTTAGTGAAATTTATTTTTTTCTCCTCAAATTTGATAAATTTATTAAAGTTGTATTTTTACCTATTTCAGGTTGAAACGCGCTTTGACCACCTGGGGAGAGAAATTCTCAGAGGCTGAGGTAGGTTTTCTTTTATTGCAGACCATTTCATATTATTTAATTGTATACCATAACGGTTTATTCAATATGCCAAGCAAATACCAATCAAATAGTCTAGAAAATTCACAAAAGCATTCCTCTAAAGGCAGATATCAATCGTGCATACTTGCTCTAGACTTGTTTCAGAACATATTTCTTTATTATAATGCATATTTGTCATAATGCCACTTGACGCAGGCCTCAGAAAATGCAGAACACAAAAATAGTCTTCCCAAGACAGATGTCAATAATGCATTTTTTGCCTTTTAAATAACAAACCCATTTGTCAGTTATGCTCACTTATAACTCTACTATTATTGTTACAAGTCTACCTAACTTAGTTTGATTTTGGCAAGATACAGCTCAAATTATTAATTAGCTTTAGACAGAATAAAATTAAGTAACAGTTCATTTATTACTTGAAGCTAAAACATGCAATGCATAATAGTCGATAACTTATCGAAAATGCCATAGTAAAATTGAAGCCATTTGTCTTTTAATATAATACATTTCAACGAAAAGTACTGTGCAACCACCTCTGCTGGTTATTTCCTACCAGGTCTGGTTGCTAACTAACTAAGCATGATAACGACTGCTACCGGAAATGGTTGAGTCGTTTAATGGGCTGATCCCTTCTGCACAAAATCCCTTAATAATTAATCCCTTCTGCACTGTGGTGACAAAGCACATTACCATTGTAAATGAGGGAGAGTTGTTACAACCTGAAATGCCTGTTTCAAAAGAACAGACTGCACCAATCCACACGGCAATCGGAAGTATGGCTACCTCCATTCAATGTAAAACTGGCGCCGATATTCTCCGAGTTAATAAGCGGGCTGTTATCTGGTAGACATGAGTTGCAGTTAACCTGACTGATTTTCTCACTTTCTTTTGCTTGCTTTTAATTTGCATAACCTTTTAACCTGAGCGGAGGTATGCAACGTGAAGAGAGAAGATAGCACAATATTCAACATCTAAAACTTAAAAATAATTGTCACATGTTAAACAGTGTAAGTAGTGTTAATTCGAAATAATATTAACAGTGTTAATCTCAAGTAATGTGTATATAGTGTTAGCATAAAAGATAAATTAAAAATCTAGTGCCTCATTGAGTGTTAAATTTCTCTAGAAAACTCCAGTTTGGAAAAATGCATCAACGATAAATCAAAAATTTCATCCCAGAACATTATGCAATAAACGGTTCAAATATAAAAATAAAAAAATATTACCATCTCAAACGTCTGCTGTTTCATAAGCTTTTATTTAGCGACCGTGGTTTTCATGTAGCAATTCTATTTCACAGGTTGAGGAAGCCCTCTCAGAAGCCCCCATCGACAACAACGGTCTCATTGACATCAAGAAATTCGCAAACATCCTTACCAAGGGAGCAGAAGAAGAAGAGGGAGGTTAAGCGGATGCAATCATGCCAGGTAAAAACGTTAAAACCTTTCATTATTATTATCCTAATTAATTAATTCACTCTATTCGTTATTATTCACCTATTAACCACGCCTGGAAAAAATGCTTTGTTTTCAAAGCAGAGAAAATTTAGTTTTATAATTGCATGAAATAAGTAAGTATCGAGTTTTAAATAAAATACTGAGTTATTTCCAAGTATAAGAAAGTTATTAGAAATCGACTAACTAAAACCGCGAGAATAGGCACAATAGGTAAATCTTCATTAAAAGGTATATTAAAAGCTACATCTTGTACCACAAATAAAATTTAAGCAAACTAGTTCCCGATGCATGCAGGATTTTAAAAACTCAAATTTTTGAGCATGTACGACCCAACCGATTTGCGAACTTGCAAACTCTTGACCAATCAGGCTCGGTTAATGCGAATTCAAGCATGCGCACTAACCTTTACACAGTATCACTCACCAATATACAAATTACAAGTCAGCACACAAATAAACGTTTCATGGAATAAATTAGCTTTCTGAGCGAACGGTCGCTGCAATTCTCTTTAAACTACAAATTCGCTCGCTAGTCACGTTCAACTTAATTTGCATTCCGATGATAGAACAGACAGGCAAGAATTAACATAAAAATAATGCATTAGATGAAATAAATATTAAAAAAGAGCTTTATTTAAAATTGTTGATTTGAAATAATAATCATAAATAAATAAATAAATAAATTTAAAAACATTGAACTAGAAAATATGAGTTTTGGCATTGCATATACGTCGGCTATTTTAGAAACAAATCTCTAGCCTAATGGTCAATAACTTCCATCATTCGTTAGTGACTAGGTAGATAAGACATCAATCTGCCAGGCTAATAATTTTATCCACTCAGCCACTAGGGAACTATTAAATAGAGGCCATAAACTGATTTCTTTGGCTATCACTGAGGCCCACCAGCGGGTATTTGGGTCCACTGGAAGATCCCTAAATTATGCAGTCCACCAATTTAGTAAGACAGTTCAACCCCAAGGAACCAAGCTGAAATCAATTCCTAGAGACTGAACTATCTTATCCATTATGCAACTGGTGACATTAGCCGAATGGATAAAATACGGTGACTTTAGCAACTGGTGACTTTAGCCGAGCGGATAAAATATAGTGACTTTAGCAACTGGTGACTTTAGTCCAGTGGATAAAATATGGTGACTTTAGCCGAGTGGTGACTTAATGATCCAGCTAGCTGAACTGGCATAATACAACTATCTAAGACTAAATTAACTGAGTTCATGATGTTTTTATTAGTTACTTCATCTCTTGTACGAATATGAATTCTCTATCCTTATGAATTCTTCCTCGAAAGCATTCCTTTTAAGGCGGATAAGCATTTAGAATTTCGCCATAAAACATATTTAAATCTATTAAACAAAGTGACAGAAGTAAGAATAATGGCCATTCTGCTTGTGCAGTCATAATAATGAAACCACTTCATTTGTCTAATTATTCCTTTTCATTTTCAGAATGAAGATTTCAAGGAGAACGACTTACAGTTTCAGCGGTGTCTACAAACACAGAATGAGAATTACCATCTGTTATGCATTGTTGTGGCTTTCCTTTGTTTGAGGAATTCCTCACAAAAGACATTTTAACTGCCATTCTGTTCGCGGGTGTTTCACCTTGAATTCTTCAATGCCATCAAATTTCTGTCTACATATCTATCTATTGGAATAAAAGCAAATAATTTTACTTTTTACTATTATCTCTTCTGTAATTGCCTTCCTTGTTGTCATCACACACACAAACTGCCAAACAGGAAACATTTTATGAAAAGAGTATAAATGTAATAACTTTTTACTCACAGAATCCCGTGAGAAAAAAATTATTTAATTTTTCATTTTATTCTTTTTTTATTTTTATTATTTATTTATTAATTTATTTTATTTTTTTTAGAAAACTGTAATTCAAAATGCAAACCAATTCAAAATGCAAATAATGATTGGGGAGGAAATATCGAAATACTTAAGAAAAACTAAAATACATAATAAAGAAGAATAATTATTTTGACAATGATATCGAAATTAAAAATCACAGAAGGCTAGTTTATTATAACCAGTTTCTGAATGCGTTAATAAAAAGTGCAAATGTGAGAAGAGCCATCAAGCTTTTTGTTAAGTTATGATTGTTTCATCGAATAACAGGGCACACACAGACATGAAAAATAGGTGCAATTTCAAAATTTAGTATAAAGTATATTTCTGACCTTAATACGATAGAAAATACTAAAAGCAACGGCAATTGTCCAAGCCTTTCATACGTTGATTCCACACCATTAGTATAAGCAACTCATGCTTCGAGGCCCGACTAACAGGCTGGCTGCATGGGTGTTTTCGTTGTTTCCGCCATATGTAAAATGGATACGAGCATGTTTCCTTAAAAAGTCTTCCACGGAGGTTGCCCTCCCTTTCCGCCTAATGCCTAATAGTAGAACATATAATAAAAACAATGCAAGTTTACCTGAAGCAACATGACCCCAGCTCATGCAGTAATCAAATTAATTCCAAACTCGGTGAATCTTGTTCATGTAATGACCTAATCACAAAATTCTGGATTCACGTGGGTAACAGTGGTACATAAACGCTAGAGAAACAAATTCTTTGGGCGACTGGAGTGGCCAAGGGAGAGTCGTCTATCTGCAGTGCATTCGATCTGGAGCTGTAAAAGAAAACAACTGAAGTACTCGCATATTTCTCTTAAAATAAAGGCAAGCTCTGTATATTTAGTAATAGTTATAGAATATAATGGACGCGATAGAATGTAATCTCAGTTATAGAATATGATCGACCTGATTGGTCTTCATTTGGGATGAAAACCATTTTTGAATCGTTACCAGAAGAGGATCGCCAGTCACATTTGCTTCAGGGACCCTTTCTGGCCAGACACTGCGCATAATACAAGAAAGACATCTGAAGAATAACGCTGGTTCGTCTCCTTTAAAACTGTACTCAAAATTCAGCTACACTGTAATAATGTTCTTGTGCCTCTCAGATCGGAGCACACAGAGAGCCTACTCCCGCTGTGGTTCCATCTCGGAAACGGGACTTGCGGCAATGAAATAAAAATAGAAGTGAATTGTTAATTGCGCATATGAGATCTTGTTACCGCTGTTGATAGTAACCGCTTTTGCAACTAAAAAATAAATATGTTATTAAGTTTTTTGAAACTGCACCACTTTTTTGTACATGTTCTGAATTTTTAATGTTATATTTTAAATTAGCGTTTCTTAACCTTTCTTATCTTTTCCTCAATTTTTCGAATAATATTGCTATCCCAAAAAATTCCTCCACGAAACTTACTTATATATACAACTATTAATAACATTCTTTTCCTTTTATTAAGTACACGTTTATCAAGTATCACCGGTTTAAAAGGCCAATTTTCTTAAAGTGATCAATATTTCTGATAATATGTGAATAATCAAATAACGGTATTGATCACCACTGAGAATCATATTTTCTGGACACCTCAACAAAGCAACGAAATGCTCTGAAGCCATTGATGATATTGTTAGAGAGATTTAAAAATATGCAGATAATTCTGGTTAGTTTAAGTAAAAGATAACTAACGATTTACGAACTTACGAAATCTTATACAGTATTAAAAAAAATCAATCTACCTATTTAAATATCCTCTCTCACAAACGAATGAGATATTGTCCCTGTTTACCTTGAGCACCATATGTGTCCTGTATTAAACCAGTGAAAGATATGCGAATCCAACCCGTACATCTGCTTCCTATACTGAGCCCACCAGTGGCCGGTGGCTGAGAACATTGAACACTGATAGTTCGACTCAGGTTCGAGTCCCAACTGACGGGCTTCCTGCATGGGTATTTTTGTGGTTTTTCCAATGCATAAAATATTAGAGCCAATTTCCCTTAGAAAGTCTATTACAAAAGCTTTCCTTTCCTCAGTGTATATCCTTCTAGTGCTTTGCTATCAATTAGCCTAATCTCTGTATAGGGAGCATTAAAGGTTATTTCACTATGATGTCATGCAGATGTCGCTAAATATACTTATTACTATATTTATGCTTTGGAATAATATAGCATAATGAAGATTACATTCTAACGCAAATTCTTCAAAAATAAATCATATTCCTAAAGCCTGATTATTGTAATCTGAGCCGTCGGTGTACTGTTCTTTTAGAGTTCTCCAATAACTACATCCGTTGTTTCGGTGAACTGAAGAATATGATGAATTTACGATTGTGGAATCTCTTAAAACTCGGAGTCTTAGGCCTGCCTTGTAAACCAGACGATAATCGGAATCTACATATGCCTCTAAGTGTGTTTTCTTTCGCTCCTCGCAGTATCTCATAGTAGACAAATAAGAAATTAAATACAGAATTGACTTAAAATCACATTTACAGATGATTAGCCCATTCATTACTATTTATAATGCAACCATTTGCAGTTTCTTAAAAAACACGATTCTGTAGAAACCTAATTGAAAACGTTGCTTTAGAACAATAAATGCCAGCCATTACTGTATGGTGATTAGCAGAACTAACCTCTATATCTTCGTGTCTCGGTTTGAATCCAGAAGAAAACATGGATATTTGTTAATGTACGGTATCTTTGCAACCTAGAAATGTAGTCAAAAATAACGTCGATCAGAGAGTCTTGCAGAGAAGTTAGTGGTAAGCGAATAGAGGTACGCGACCTGGGTTTCCTCCCGCAGAACGTTCTCGATCAAAACAGTACGGACCTAAGTAAAGTCGTGCTGTCACCTAATACACAAGACTGTTCAATAACAGGCTTTCTCTTCGCCATGATAAATTTGTAGAAATTTTCATTTTTATTATTTCTTTTGCAGTATCTCAGAAACAACTGTTTTACAGTTTCTTGTATATGAAACTTTGGGTGCTACTTTGGTAGACGGTTGCACGGATTTTGGCGAGTAATACAACTTATGGTAAACCCATTGCTGGATAAGTTATTTATGGTAACCGATACCTTTTGTAATTTTATTTAAAAAATAATGCTTTTTTATTATGCATAACTTCCGTGTTTTAAATATTATTTATGGCTTCTAAATATTAAAAATCAATTTAATTTTACATTTTTATTTGAAATAAAAATTTTGTTGTTTATAATATTTTATATAATTTTATGTTGTGGATGATGTAATCAATGACGTCACCTTACTTAAAAAGTAATTGGTTTTATTAATATCTATAAATTTAATCTAATGTTTTAAACATTATTTATGGCTGTTAAATATTAAAATACAATTTAATTTTGCATTTGTTTTAAAAAATGATTTTATTATGAATGATTATTTAAATAATTTTAATTCTATGCGTGATGTAATCAGCTCCCTGATTGGTTACTGAATATTTGTGCATTACCGCGCCATTTTAAAATTTTATTATTCATCTCTTCGAATTCCTCAGATTTCAAATGGAATGGATATCTCCGTTTCGAAGATGAATGTTGTTATTGGTAATTACCAAGAATTATTGGTATTGGAATAAAAAAAAATTGCCCTTTGAGACCTTATTTTGGCCAACCTGTCTTTCCTAATCAAAGATTTATTTATAAATTGTTAATAGCGTCAGAGGAAATTTATTTTAAATTTTTGAGGAAACCTCGCTAATTGCTTCTTCAATGAAGTGCGAGATATGTGGATAACAGATGAAGATGGTTAAAAGAGCCGATTCAATTATGATTTCGATTTTTTGTGGTACTTATCAATAAACAAGAGGTTAAATTACTCAAAAAAATGTAAGTACATATTTTTCTTTTATTTTATAATTGTATACTTCAATTTTTGTTAAAAAAATTAATACACTATTTTCAAAAATTGCTGAGATAATTATTGTCACATATGTTTTAATGTTAATTATATTTTATATAACGTATTTTAAAGTATTTGAATTTAATAATATTCTAATTCCTTGAAATGTTGGTGGGATGGTTTTTAATTCGATATTCAATATCAGTAATATTTTAATCTAATTAAACGTTGGCACAATTTTTTTATAGCGGTGTGTTTATTCTCGTTTTTGCTATATGAAAGTAATAATAGCCTTACTTTAGTATTATAATTTATACTCATAGTAAATGTATTTATTTACACTTGCCTGCCATCTTAAAAAACGACATTTTCAACAAAAAATTAATCCATTACTTTTAACGATATTTATTTTTTTTTAAGTTTCGAATACTTTACTATGCGTAAAAACAGCGTTTTTCAAGATGGCTGACGATTGTAAAAATCGCGCCAACAATTGTGCCAACGTAAATCGCCAAAAACCCGTGCAACCGTCTACCAAAGAAGCACCAAACTTTGTCTAAAGATTATGACAGAACTTTAAAACGTTGAGAGAAAATTCTGAAACATCGTCTTGAAATTAATGTTTTTTGATCTTAAAAGATATTAAAACTAAAAACAGTAAAATGATGCATATTAAAAATTTTTCAAAACATTTTAAATAATATTTTAATCATCAACGAGTTCTCAAATTAAACTCGTGAATCCGAGCCAGCTTACCTTAGAAAGTTTTCCACGAAGGCTTCCCTTCCCCTTAGACAAATAGCCTTCGTATGCTTTGCCGTATTCAAAAAAAACCTAACCTAACCTCATATTAAGCATATGAATATTCCTTGTCTGCTTGTAGCTATTATGCTTGAGGAAACAGTTAGTTCTTCATTGTTATCTTAAAATTGTCAGCCGTATTTTATGTATTTTATATTGAACATGTAATATATGTGTGGTGTAAGCAATGATTCAATTCTCGTTTCTTACTAACTCTTGAATTTTGCAGCATGTTTGATTGCATGTTTAATCTAAAATATTTATTGTATTTTTCATCGTATAACTCGAGATTTTAGACTAAAACAATACCTTTCAAAAGGTCTAATCAACTTATATATCAGTTATAAAATACATAATAATTTCGTTTTGCATATACTAATGAATTTGTGATTATATCGAATAAAAGTGATAAATGTGATTTTGTCATTTTAAAAAGTTAAATAAAACAAAAATATTTTTAATTATAAAAATTGAAAACAATAAAATTGTGCTATTCTCTGAAAATATTGTGAAAGAAAAAAATAATAATAAAGACTTATGTGCTAGCGAAACAATTTAAAAAACTAATTTCTGCAAATAAAATCTTTTTTAATTCATGTATTTCCAAATCACTGGCTTACGTTTAATGTCAGTTGTCATAATTTGAAATTAAAATTTTCACTTTTTTCATTTCATTTATCTTGAAATTGGTTTCACAAACTACCTAAAACATCTTTAACATTCGGATGATACTGTTTAAGGTGCTACTTTGGCAGACGGTTGCACGGATTTTTGGCGATTTACTTTGGCGCAATTGTTGGCGCGGTTTTTACAATCGTCAGCCATCTTGAAAAACGCTGTTTTACGTTATTTTGCGCATAGTAAAGTATTCGAAACTTTAAAAAAATAAATATCGTTAAAGATAATGAATTAATTTTTTGACGAAAAGGTTATTTTTTTAAGATGGCAGACAAATGAAAATAAATACATTTACTAAGAGTATAAAATACTAAAGTAAGGTTAAATTATTACTTTCATATAGCACAGAAATAGAATAAAAACACCGCTATAAAAACGTTGCGCAACGTTTAATTGGATTAAAATATTACGTAAATTGAATATCGAATTAAAAACCATCATACCAACGTTTAAAATAATTAAAATATTACTTAAGTTCAAATACTTTAAAATAAGTAACTAAGAACGCTTCGTACACTAGAGTTAAAATGACAGCAATTAGTTTATTGCCGGTAAAAAAGGAGAAATGTCTAATACTTTTTTTAACGTTACAGCGGTTATTTTTTCCACCGTGACCAAAATACCATATACGGCTGTCCTCAGAATCGGATCTTCTAACGATCTTCATCTGTAATCCACATTTCTCGTACTTCATTGAAGAAGCAACTAGCGAGGTTTCCTCCAAAAATTTAAAATAAATTTCCTCTGACCCTTGTAGCAATTTATAAATAAATCTTTGATTAGGAAAGCCAGGTTGGCCAAAATAAGGTGTCAATTGACAATTTTTTTGATTCTGATATCAATAATTCCAATAACAACATTAATCTTTGAAAGGGCGGACATATCAGTTTCCTATGAAATCTAAGGAATTCGAAGAGATGAATAATAAAATTTTAAAATGGCGTGGTAATGCACAAATATTCAATCACCAATCATGGAGCTGATTACATCACGCCTAGAATTAAAATTATTTAACTAATCATACATAATAAAATCATTTTAAAAAAAATGCAAAATTAAATTGTATTTTGATATTTAACAACCATAAATAATGTTTAAAAACATTAGACTAAATTTATAAATATTAATACCAATTACTTTTAAAGCAGGATGACGTCATTGATTACATCATCCACAACATAAATTATACAAAATATCATAAACAATAAAATTTTTATTTCAAATAAAAATGCAAAGTTAAATTGATTTTTAATATTAAGAAGCCATAAATAATATTTTAAACACGGAATTTATACATAATAAAACGCATTATTTTTTAAATAAAAGGACAACAAAGTATCTGTTACCATAAATAACTTGTCCAGCAATGGGTTTACCATAAGTCGTATCGCTCGCCAAAAAAAAAAAAAAAATCGCCAAAATCCGTGCAGCCGTCTAGAACACTCTTTAATTTTATTTAAGAGCAAAAACACATAGAACACACTGCGTGGGGATATACACCCATTTTATTGATTCCCTTAACGTCCACTATTCCGCAGTTTTTTTCGAGTTCTGACACTCAGGTTTAATTATTCTGGAGCTGTATACTAATATCGGTAAAATTTTCTAGCCCATTCTCTTTTATTTTTTTTTTCCTTTCGTTCGAGAATTAGTTATATATATAATATATATATGTGTGTGTGTGTGTGTGTGTGTGATGTATCAGCTTTTGTCCAGAATAAATAGATCGTTGAAGAAATATAGATGTAGTCGTAACTTAAATTATCAGATGATAAGTTTTAAAAAACAGGATCCATTTATTATTATTCAGGCGAAATAGCAGTTACAAAAATCAGATATGCGGAGTAAATAAAAAAGAATTACTAATAACTTTTTGTATGAAGTTTACTGCATCGTAACATTTAACAAAAAGCCCCGATATTCCTTTTGCGAGTCTTTTATAGCCTCTGGAAAGGCGGAGCTTCCAAAAATGACATCAGCCTCGTCAGCCAATCCAGTTCGCTTTAAATATTTCGAGAACATTCTATAACTGTACGTGTAGAAAAGGCGGGAAAAACAACTTGACTACGGGGCTGTGGATTTAATTCCGCGTACTTTCAAATAAGAGCACGTCGCCATTAAAAATGAAAAGACATACAGTTAGAATTTTAAGTGTATTCTTGACTATGGAATTTTATTATTACATATATATATATAATGCAAGGCTTACCTTGTACGCCGAAAAATACGATAAATGATGACAGTTTTAAGACAATAATGAAAGATTAAATTGTTCACCACTAAAATTGTGGTCAGCGTAATTCAGAAATATAGGATAAAAACGATAAGCTAAACAAAGGAATTCATTGATTGCTAAAAAAATTAAAAAATTAGTTGATTCTTTTCCCTACAGTTAAAAAATATATTTAATACATTTTGCAAAAAGCATTTAATTTTTAAAAATTACTTACCTGTATTTTCTTTAATAATCTTAACTGCTATATAAACCTCTTTCTTATAAGATGTAGGTGATTCAAAAAGAAATCTAACTATGGGTGTCTTTCTCGGATTCTTATTCAATCAAATTCAGTCATTTCATTCCAGTTTTAATTCAATGTCTGATCCTAATTCTAAAAATAAAAAAAATCTGATGTGTACACTACATGACTTCCTTGTACGGAATATTAAATTATACGCATTTTTTCTTTCATTTCATTTAAACTTATTAGATTGAATTAAACCTACTTCGCCGACAGCGCACAAACCACAATAGAATAAATGCATTCTTTAAAATTCACTTTGTTTACCATAGCGACATTCTGGCGCAAGGTTTACTTAACAGTATTATATTTCGTTCATATTATAACTCAGAATGCACAAAATTTATATTATTTAAAGAATTATCTAATCTTTGCCACATGTTCTATTCAAATACTATAACAAAGCTAGATGGATGTATAAAAGAAATTAAGCAAACAAAACCAAAAAGAAACAGTTTTTCACAGACGATTGAGTATTTCTCATTCAATTAATTCAGTTTTCACTTCGCGACAAAGCAAAAATACATAAAAACTCAAAATATCTGTATTAAAAATTACGAAGTAAATCTTAAACGCTGATTTCCTCGAAAAAATTCCAGAAAGGAGTAAGCATGATTTAAATAACAAATAAAGGCGTTATCTTTGTTGTTGCGAAGCTAAGTTTCTCTAGATTGACAACAAATCCGCTACTCAGATGTTTCAAATGCAAATAAGAGCAATGGCCGCCATCAAATTAGGCTTAGCGGCACTTAAACAATTTTAAAATTGTTGATAATTCTAAAAATATTGCATACACATTTACTAAAGGCATAAAAACTTTAACCGGAAGATAAGAACAACATAATTCAATCATTTTTAAAGCAAAAAATGTACAATTTACAAACATATAAGAGTAATGAAACTGAGATCACTGAGCCGGGTAACAGAGTGGATATATATATAAATGCATTTATATACGTTTGGTGCGGCCGATTGCAACCAAAATACGAGGTGCACATCTACATGTTATAGCAGTCCTATATAGAAAATTTCAACGTTCTTAGGCTACTCGTTTTTGAGTTATGCGAGATACGTAAGTACGCACGTACGTACGTATATACGTTCGTACAGACGCCACGAAAAATTCTCTTCAGAATTCATGATAAAGCAGTTTTATAATTTTTTTGGAGGAAAAGAGTGTTTTATTCTGTCCTTACATACAGATATCACGGAAATACATCGTTAAATTGCATTTGAAAGAGGTCAAAATGGGATATTTTCGTTGAAACATGCTGCCTGAAACTTTTCGCGATTACAATACTTCCTTTTTACTTCGTACAAGGAAGTAAAAAAGGGTCTGAAAGGTTTGAGACTTTAAATTTCGCCCAAAGGGGCTTTTTTTTAACATTTTGTGGGTTACCTTTATTTATTAAACATCATGTTCTTCGCACTTAAACCATAAAATGCAGTTCAAGAGCAATATCGCAAAATAATTTTAAATTGAGCATATCTTAAGAATTTCTAATGCACAGTCTCACGTGCTGGAAATAAAAAGTTTTTTTCTGTACAACGTTGCCATTGCTCGCTTTGATATGCTTGAGTTTGTTAATCAAATACTCGTTGAAGTTTTACAAAATATGAAATCGATAATAAAACAAATTCCAAATTTCAAATTTGGGCTTCCAGATGCCCATATTTGCAGTAGGATTACGCCATTCAAAATTGGATAGCTCTAGGTACCGTTGTTTTATCACAATGCGAGAAACATGCATACATTTATGCAGATTTTCATTATTTAATTTCTTCAAATATAATACAGGGCGATAACATTTGGTGGCAACAATTTGAAAAGTGAAACGGAAATTCAGAGTGATTCGACTCAAAATCGCAAAACGAAAACAATAGTCCCTCAGGGACAAAACCTTTTGGGACTCATAAACAAACAAAATCAATTTCTTTTAATTTTCAGAATACAAAAAGACGATGTAATTTTTTAAGTTAAAAGCTGTTATAAAAACAAATGAAATGTAGTCCAATACAAGCCGACTGTACAAAATTCAGGGAAGAATCATTTAAAGATTTACTGCTCGAATATTACTAAAATAACATAGAAAAGTAAATTCATTATTCAAAATTCAATATTTATTTTTCAAAATGCATGCATATTAATATTTATTTATTTAAATATTTCGTCTTCACAAAATGCTTATGTCTAAAAATCCGTTAATTAAACATAAATCTTAACAAGCATATACAAATAGTTGAAAAGTTTTGAGACTGTCTCTGTTTCGTTTTTAGAAAAGGCCGCTGGGTAAGGTTTTCGTAGTTTTCTCGTGTATAACGTGAATACATATCACTTTCCCTTATAATGTTCTCCACAAAAGCATACCTCTCTTAGTCAGATAACCCTCGTTTGCTTTGCCTTAATCAATTAAAAATAGTGTCATCTCTAATTTGTTCAGTTTATTGGAAGATATTTAAAATTAAATACATTAAAAGTAAATTCCAATTATGAGATCTGTAATAGCATACACATTTTTTTTTATATTTAAAATATGTCTATCAGATAGTGATCGGTAACTCTTAAACATAAAAGAAACTCGAGTTTATCATAAAATAATTATCACACATCATAATGTTGTTAACTTGTTTAGTCAAACCTGCGTTTATCCTTATAAAAGTAATACTCTGGTGTAGCTGGTGTGATTTCAGTACAACTATGAATAAATTAATTTTATCATAAAAAAACCAGCAACATATTTGAAACTAGCTTGATTTTGAAGTCTAATACTTGATCTACTAGAAGACTGTTAACCTTTAAATATTTTCTCCCCAAAGCTTGAGGGCCGGAAGCCTATTAATTGACCTTTTTCCAACAGCTATTAATAACCAGATTCTTATTAGCTGACATTTCTTATGAATACAGACTGGATTTTGCTTTGTCGATGAACTTTTGTTTTGTAAAAGAAATGTTGTTAATGAAAATCATAACAAAACATAAATGTGAAAAAGGGGCCAAGTTCGAGAGAAAAGACATTCCGTGTAGTTGGTGTCACCCACAAAAGAATTGAGATCTAACGGACGGTTAAATTTACAATATGCAAACATGAACAAACTGTTAAATTTACAACATGCATTAGCGGAGGTGAGATTTGCAAATGATTAAAATTTCAGCCCAGACGCACATCACGCGCGCCTGTGACGCTGCTTCAAAGCGCTATTTAAGGCTTAGAGTTTTCGACGAATTTCAAGTTTCGGCAATTGTGTTTTTTCTAGTGGTCTTTTTTTCAAAAAAGCGAATCAAATTATGCCTCGTAGTAAAGCGAATCATCGTTTGATCAAGTATCCAAGTTCGACAGAGGAAGGATAATGGCCTACCGAAGAGTGTAGATTATCTTTCAGCGAAATCGGTAGTCGTGTTGGACCGAAACCAAACAACTGTAATGCTGAATATGGGACCGTTGGATGCAGGAGGGTACGACGGTCCGACGTGATTCGATCGCATCCACGCTCAGTGCACCACTTCACATGATAACAGGAACATTATGCGCATGACAGTAACAGGATCGCTCAGTCACATCACGGAACCATAGCACAGCACATTCAGTCTGTAACGCATCAACCAGTGTATGCGCGTACCATTCGACGTCCGTTTACAACAGAGTTGGTCTGTCTGCAAGACATCCATTGCTTCGTCTACCCTTGACGCAGAACCCCAGACGTCTCCGCCATCAAAGGTGCGATGAAAGAAGAATGTGGACTGGAAGAATGGAATGACTGGAATGAAATTGTCTTTACTGACGAGTCACGCTTCTGTCTGCAACACCACGATGGTCGGATTCGAGTCTGGAGACACCGTGGAAAGAGGAGGCTGAACAGCTGCGTTATGCACCGCCTCACTGGTCCTGCACCGGTATTATGGTATGGAGCGGTATTGGATATCACTTCTCGCTCTCCTCTAATATGCATTGCCGGTCTTTAAACAGCCAGTGCTACATCTCCGAGATGTTGGAGCCAGTTGCCCTTCCTTACATTCAGGGCTTGTCCACAGCCATTTTCCAACCGGATAATGCTCGACCACACGTCGCACGCATTGTCCAAGGGTTCTTCGTCAATCGCCAGATTGAATTGCTTCCCTGGCCGGCTCGCTCTCCGGATCTTTCGCCGTAGAAAATATGTGATCTATGGTTGCTGAACGATTGACCCAAATTACATCCCAATCTGCCACACCAGATCAACTTTGGCAACGTGGGGAAGCTGCTTGGTCTGCTGTACCCCAAGAACACATCCAAAGTCTCTTTGAATCAATGCCGAGGCGTGTGGTATCGGTGATCTCCAACAATGGTGGCTACTCTGGCTACTGATTCTGGAAGGAACCACACTTGACAGAAGTCCATAAATTTAATCATTGGATACTTGGTCAACATGTTATCTACTAAAATTTTGTTGTGATATCTCTTGTCTTTCTTGTTGTTGCAATTTGGGTGGCCAGCAGTGTATTTAGCTTCAGCTAAGCTCTCTATAGTTTAGCTCTTACTTCGAGTTTAAGCCCACGTGGAGGTTTTGTTGTAAGTCCGAGAAAGGGGCCAACTGTTCATCTTATTTTGAGTGAATAAAAGGGTAGTTAACCCTTCTTGAGTCTACGACTTTAATTATTTGAACTCAGCGATAAGTCGCTTAACAGTTCCCTAGGTTCTTCAACGTTCATTTAGTAGAATAAGAGTGAGGAAATCTAGAAACTAAATTAAAGGTCATGTTCTTATTTAGCCACGTAAATGAAAATGCATCTAAATAAATACGTACTTAAATTTTTTCCTTGCGTTTACGCTGCACTAGTTTCTTTTTATGAAAATGAAATAAAAAATAATTATATACTTTTTATGTAATGAAAAAGCGTGAAACAAATAAGTGACCTTGAATTTTTTTCTTACGTTTACTCTGCACTGGTTTAAGGCAATTTCTACATTTTCCATAACCGTGGAAATTTTGAGTTTACGCCGCACTGGCTTCTTTTTATTAACAATTTCTATATTTTCCGTGACGGTAAAATGTTAGAATTATTTTGTGTAAAATAATTGAGTCACTGACCAATAATCCTACTGTACGACTAA